GGAAAGAAATCAATACTTTCCATTGATTCTATCTTGGAACAGTCGGCTAGTCCCGATTGAATATTCGTCATTAAACTACGATTGGAATTATTTGATTTCGGTCGGTCAGTATCAACATAACTTTGTGCTCTAGAAATAGAGTTCTTCGGAACCATTAACAAGATTAATTGCCACCGTTCAATCAGATATTAACGGGTGCTACCTACAGTGAATCTCAGTGTAAGGATTCAGCTGAACATGGCGTGATGTGCACGAATTTTCGAAATAGACAATGGGTGGACGGAAATTGATGAAAATTTGTATGGACATCGTGCCACACGTAAGTAATACAAATTTATACTCTTTGGTGTCACAACTCTTGTAATAAATTCACACGAAGGCTTCAAATTCGCGAGGTGGAAGAAACGCGAAATTGGCCACGATCACCAACATCCAACGTTATCAAAAAGGAATTATGCACAAATATGTTCCTTTATATTTTCTAACTTGCTCCTATTCGTGCACAGATACGTTTTAAGACTAACAAATGCACGAAATGACTAAGGAAAGAATTTTATGGCGAAGATACAGATAGAGACTGCGGTTACCCAAGCGCGTTTTAACATCATACGTAAGGATTCGCGCACAGATTTCACCATAAGTAAATAAGGGGAGGTTACTATTGAATGCAACACATCAATGTGACGGAAATTAAGAAACACAAAAATTAAAAATACAATATATACTGCAAAGATCAAAATCGTTTTAGAAAATAAAGCAACTATTAGTACGCATTGGATATAGCGTACAGATGGCAGCATGTAAAAAGACTTTCCGAATTAGACCGATGATGGCGTGCTGTTGCAGTCAGGTAAATCAATAACTCGTCTACGTAGCGATTGGCCCACATCAGAGTACACAAACCCACGAACTCTAACGGAGAAAACTTGAAATCGAAAATTACGTGATTTGATTTGATTGGAAAAACCTCTACATACGCTTTCAAATACGTGAGATCGAAGTTAGCCACGGAAGTGAAAGTCAGTCGCTATTGATTTATGTCGAGAGGCACTGCAGTCTCCGTAGTTCAATGTTAGCCTTGGAATTATTCAACATCTTAAGATCAAGCTTTCATACCTCGGTACTCAAACAAATATGTTCATCGGGATAATTAGCAACATTTATTTCCTGCGACACATAATAAACTACTGTGTGCTTCATACAGTGAAGACGAGAGGACGTTCTCCATCCAGTGACGTATGCAAGATGGAGACAAGTAGAACATTACACTAACGGTCTCATGTACGTGTTCGTGTGAATTGCCGAAATGTGGCATTAAACTCCGTGAATTAACTTTCGACATTACACGTGTGTATAAAAGAGGCTTGTGATTCCTATGGTGACAACCAAATAAATTCCACGTGTACCTGATTTGCAGAAGATGGACGTGTCTAAATGTGACTTTCCTGTGCATATGTATACATGTATATTTCTGACAAGCCGGATCTTTGTAATATCTCGATACTTTTTAAAATAAAATTTTTACATGTGTACTAACAATTCTTAAGCGTAAGCAGCCCACTAATAAAATTCAACACCCACAATTGCGTAAATACAGGCATCAGTCACGTGACCCAAGAGTCTTTCGAGGTCAACAAAAAGGTAATAAATGAAACATCTTTGAAGTGTAAAGCTATGGTAGTGACTCAAACACACGATTGTCCTATAATTTGAGAACATTGAAATATTTGAGTGTTCAAGATCCCGAAATCGATAAAAGAACTCATACGATGCCTTAACATAGACATCTTGCATCACGTCACTGCGCATCATCTTCCGCGCAGATGCCCCATTAACCTAACGTAACTGACCCACCGCAACCCAACTGGGGTATTCTACGTCAGCTGAACATGGCGACCTGCGCACGGACTTTCGAAATATACCATGGATGGTCGGAAATTGCTGCAATTTCGTATCGACGTCGTGCCACAGGTAAGTAATAAAAATTCACACTCTTTCGTGTCACAACACTTATAATAAATTCACACGAAGGTATCAAAGTCGCGAGGTGGACGAAACACGTAATCGGCCACCATCAACGACTATTACAAGGAGTTATGCACTCGATATATTTTAAAAAAAAATTTTAACATGTTTATTAATAATGCTTGAGCGTAAGCAGACCACTCATGTAATTCAACAACTACAATCGCATAAAAACATGCATAATTTACGTCAGCCATTTGTGTTGCTAGGACCACAAATAGGTAACCAATGTAAAATCTCTGAAGTATAATGCCATGGTAGTGACTCAAACACAACATTGTTCCATAATTTAAGAACATTGAAATATTAGAGTGTTTAATTTCCAGCAATCAATAATAGAATTCATAAGATGCCTTAATATAGACATCTTGCATCACGTCACTGAGCATCACCTTCTGCGCAGATCACCAACATCCGACGTTATCAACAAGGAATTATGCACAAAGACGTTCCGCCACCACTACCACCACCAAAACCACCACGACTAGAGTTCTCATACCTACTGCCAAAACAAAATGATGATTCAACATTACTGACAAAAAAGATTGTCTTACTGTCACAAGAATTTAAATTTGTTGGGAAATTATAAACACCAAAACATTGGAAACGTTATAGCAAAAGAGGCATAAGTAACTGATATAAAAGATATATTCATTACTTCTTGTAAAGAATTTTATCCTGCAACTCTTACATATGGCAAAAAGTACTGTAACTATGGGAAAAGCAAAAGTAAAATCAATGTTCAAGTACATTTTAAATGATTTCCCATCCCAAAGTCTGGAAAGATACTTTTAAAATGCAGGATTTGAGATTTTCACAGCGGTGAGTGTGATGATTGCTGTCTTCTGGGTTGTTGCGCCATGTAGTATCATCGCCCTGATGATGGAGGCAGTATGACCTCTGAAACGTTGGTAAACATCTACCATACTATACGGCGCAACAGCCCAGAAGACAGAAATCTTCGTATGTTTAAAATTATTTCTGTACATGTATTTAATTCATATATGAATGACAAATGTATGGTCTGCGTGTATGATGTCTGAACATTTTGCTTTTTACATTGGAGCCCTAACAACATCAATGACAACTTTAGAAGAAAGTGGTTAATGCCTTAACAACAGTGTTAACAATTCTGATTTATGTCAACTCATTTGCAGGGTGCAGTCATCAGTGTGTGGATAACATGGTAAAAAAATAAATAAATGCAAGGAATCCATGAGGTTTCAATTTCTGTTAACAGTTCAGAAGATTCTCATCAGCAACAGACCAAATTCAGCTACATTTACTGAAAGGGCCAGGTCAATTCAACTAAAGTCTTCCAATTTTTTAGTAAAAGGGTTGAGCAGAAAACTGTAAAAATATGCATTTTGGACAATTCAAAAGTACAAATGGCTGCCACGTGTAAATCTTAATGATAAGGCCAGAATATGTTGCAGTTATTGAGTTAGGTCAATACCTGAACTGTGTTTAATATTTGTTTACTTATAAGACAATATAGAAATGTT